AAAAATGAACCATAAAACCAACAACCAAAAAAAAAAAAAAAAAAGATTGTACGAATAAAAAATATAATTAAAACTGGAGCTGCTGAATTGGAAGGTGAACGGGTGTGTTCGTTTAAGAATTCAATTAGGTTTATCATAAATCAAAATATAGTTACTCTGATCAATGTGATAGTTGAAGATTGTTATCTAAGAAAGGAAGTGATATGTGCCAGAATATTAGCAACAATAGAGTAATAAATTATTATCTTAATATTGCTGAAGATTTAGCACACACCTAGAAGAAAAAACAATCACTAGAGATACTAGAAGTTTTTTTTTTTTTTGTGAAAAAACTAGAAAGAAAAAAAAAAATCACGGGGTTTGACTCAGTTATAAAAATCTATTATAAGTTGATTACAGAGACTCATTGTCTCGCAGGTGGGAAATGATTATAAAGTCTACCGAATTATATAGTCGATGTGCGGACAAACTTGTTGGAAGGAACGAACGACAAACAATGTTGTTCGGTGACGACCGATGAGTGGTGGTCGGCGGTAGTGGACGGCGGTCGGCTGCAATTGACGATGACATTAGTGATGCTGGACTTCAGCTCTTTTTTAAACCTTCAAGCTCTTTCTCAAGCTTCAAACTCTCCTCCTCCCACATGAGAGAGATGAGTTTTATTTATAAAGTTCTGGATGCAATTAGTGTAAGAATATGAACCAGTTTGATCCAATGGCTCAGAGGATTTCTCTTGATCAGACGGTGTTTGATGGACATTTGAGTGTCTTAACTATATTGAAGTTGAGCGATCTTGGGCTCATTGGATTCGTCTCATTGAAATGCTCGATTCAACTATGAATTTGTCGGATTCAACATTTGTTTGACCTTCCAAATGTGTTCGAAAAATGTTCAAACATGATTTGGTTATTTGATCAGGGCTTGATTTTGCTTAGATTGGATCATGTTGGTATCATCAAGCCGATGAGCTATTAGTTTGCTGGAATCAGAGCTCTGAATGAATTTTTATCAATTTTTGAATATTTCTTGCTCAAAAGGTTGCCTTGAGATTCATATCATGTCTCAAGACTTTTGTTGGATGAAGGATAATTGTTGGAGTCGGTGCCTTAAAACAATGACTAATTAGTCATTTGCTTTGGTGTTCTTCTTTAGAATCAATGAGTTTCACATTCACCTCTTTTTTGAATAGCCTTACTTTATATAGTTGTTAAAACTCTCATTTTACTATATATTTTATTCTACCTTCTTACAAACTCTAGAGTTTAGCCCTTCTCGATATTGACTAATTTCTATGAATGTGTTTTCTTTATAATTCTTCCTTCAATAATACGTCTTAACCACAATTGATAATTATTTATGCCTCAATAAAATGATTTAGCAAAAAAAGGTCAATGTTTAAACTTGTTGATCTGCTGAACTAAATTCTTCATGATTTAAATAGATTATAAAATTTAAATAAAACATCAAAATAAAAAAAATGTTGTCAAAATATTTTTTTCTTAATAAATAGAAACTAGAAAAAGGAAATCTTAATTGACAATAAAAAATTTGTGAGCTCCAAAACTTAATGGCCCAGCCTCAAAAGAAGAGAAAGTAATGAGAGCAAGGGAGTTTATCTGTGAGATTTCAAAATAAAATTTCATAAGGCAGATGGGATAGTATATAAGACACTATTTAAAGATTTCGCTCTCATTTTATGAGAACCTTAAGATAAGTAGTTTGAGGTTTTTCATAGGTGCAAACCACCCCTCCAAATAATGGGAAAGCACTATCAATTCACACTTAGTTGCCGTCATTTTTTAGCACGCTCTTGTTTTCACTGCTTTGTTGGAGTGCCTGACGCATTGTATTGTGGAGGAAAGGTGCTAAATCCGACCAAATTGAGCCCGGTGCCACGATGCCTTTTTGCTAGTGTCACGACACTGGTGCCCCCATTGCACCATGTCGTGTAACTGTGTGCATGTGAGCACACTTGAGCATTTTGGAGAGACCTACCATGTGTCATCGCATTGTTACTTGGTGCCACGTCCTTCAATAAAATAAATGTGGGGCCTACATTCGGGTACAATTACACATGTATCAAGGTTTTTGACTAGAATTTGACCTAGCGTTGTAATGCTGGGCAATTAATGTTATGATTTTTAATCAATGGAATTGTTGTTGACCGCTCGAAATAGACGAAGTAATTATGCAGCACCAATTCATTTATGAATAAGACTGGGGTGGAACAGTTTTGCCATGCAACCCTATTCCAAAATTTATATTTCCCCTACTCAAAATCCCCTCTGTGCTCTGACTTTTGGTGGAGAAAATGACACCTAACTCGTGTTTCAATGGGAAGACAACGACATATAGCGTCTTCGATGCATGATGCTTCATCTGTGCTGAGGCACAAAAGAGGTACGAAGGATCTCTCTCCCGCCGTAAACTCATATCGAAGCGTGGATTTAGCAGACCCACTAACTCTATCACCTATAATATTTTAATCCGGTTTGGGAGTTTGATGTGTATTAAGTATGTATGATATGTATACGCTATCTTATATTATTTGTGTAATTTTTATGTTTTTAGCTGTACTTATAGTTTTATATGTAGTGTACACGTGATTAGGTAATTTGTAGAGCAAAGGAGAAGAAACAAACTCAAAATAGGCTGAATTGGTGCATATTGTCACGAACAAAAAGTCCCACATCGGCTGGGTGTAGGGCCTAAAAGTAGTATTTAAGTCTTGGGCTACTCACCACCCCGAAGAGCTCTTTTGGGAGGTGAAAAGTGGTATTAGAGCAGATTACTGTCTGTCAGGTGTGTGGACTCTCCATGGTCTAATGGGACCCTCGGAGGAGCCGACCCGAGACGAGAGCGTCACGTGATTGGGTGGAGGAAAATGTCACTGACAAAAAGTCTCACATCGGCTAGGTGTAGGGCCAAAAAACAATATTTAAATTCCCGGCTGCCCATCACCTCGAAGAGCTCTTTTGGAGGTGACTACGCTCTAATCTTAGGCGCACAGATTCCAATTTTAGGCGCCCATAAACCTATAAT